TGACATGTGCAAGTCGCTCCACATGGAGGTCATGCGGGCTATTGCCCTGGGCATGAACTTGCCAGAGCACTTCTTTGATGCCTATGTGGATGCCGGCGACAATAACCTTCGCCTGCTGCATTATCCTTCAGTGTCTAAGGAAGTCTTCAAACAAAATCCGGGACAGGTCCGAGCCGGTGAACATAGCGATTATGGTTCCATCACGCTTCTCTTTCAAGATAGCCGCGGGGGACTGCAAGTTCGTAGTCCCAAGGGCACTTTTGTGGATGTGACCCCCATCGCCGACACTGTGGTTATTAATGCTGGCGATTTGCTGGCTCGATGGTCCAACGATATCATTAAAAGTACCCGACACCGAGTTGTTGAGCCGCCGACAGCAGTCGGGGAGGAAGAGAACGATTCGGTTGTTTACCCTGATCGCTACAGCATTGCATACTTCTGCAACCCTAACATGAACCAATATATTGAAGCTATTCCTGGGACCTTCGAAGAGGAGACCCGTCCTGCAAAGTATCCTGGAATAATCACGGGCGATTATATGGTGCAACGACTTACAGCAACCATATAAAAGCTCCGTTTCAAACGCTGCACGGCACATGGCATACTCTTGTGGCTGCAGGTCGCGGTTATTGATCTAATATTATGCTCAGCGGGTCTAGGCATCGTATTTGACATTTCTTTCAAAGCATATAGCATCTTGTATTGGGTTATGCATGAACGTTTCTTCCTAGCTCAATGAGAATATATGTATATACGTACCATCGTGTTATGTTTCAGTGTCCTAACAACTTGGCAACGTGCTCAGCCAACCCCCGTCGATGATCGTGATATTGCCATTGGCATATGCCCCAGAGGGACTAGCCATCCAAAGAACCAAGCCTGCAAACTCTTCATGGCGACCAGTCCGACCGGGTGGCAGTTCACTTTTGGGAAAGGCACCATCCATGGCTGTTGACTTCGTGATTCCAAACGCTGTCTTCGTCATCTCAGAAGGAAACAATCCCGGTGCTATACCATTCACACGGATATCGTACGGCGTGAGAATGTTGGACAGTGTCTTGATCAGGTGATGTACCGCACCCTTGGAGATATTATATGCGATGCTATAAGGCACGACTCGAAAATGACCGGCTACCGAACCAACTATGATAACCTGCGCCTTTGGTGTTGGGAGTTGGTCATCTACAGGAGCCGGTCTTCTCTCATTTGCTGCGTTGAGCAGCGGCAAAAATGCAACAACAGTGAAAAACGTCCCTTTCACGTTGATTTTCATGAGCTTTTCGAAATCTTCTTCTGGGGACGACCACAGATGATCTCTGAACTCAGCAAGACTTGGGATTGACCCGTCCAGCTTTGGCTTTGGCGGTGCCATTGGCAGGCCTCCATAGCCGCTGTTGGCGATCAGTAGGTCGACATGATCTGTCTGTGCTGCGACAGTCTCATAGGCTGCCTGCAAAGACTCTTTCGATGTTATATCCGCCTGGACCGGAATGATGGTGTCTTTTTTCCCAAGAGACACGGTCTCTTGCAAAACATCCTCTCGACGGCCAAGGATGAAGACTTTGGCGGCACCGTTTTCGGCCAGGGCAAGGGCTGTTGAACGGCCCAATCCTGGAGGGTAGAAGTAGTCGGTCACACGAACTTCGCGGCAGTACGGGGTTCAGCTTACCTGTGCCACCGCCGGTTAAGACGACAACCAGTCCTTCGACCGACAACAACTGGGCAGCATTGAATTGCGACATGTTCTAGTACTGTCAAAAAGAATTTTTTCCCCCTTTCTTACAGATGTTATCGTGAAGAAATGCATAAGAAGGACAAAGGTTCACCGCAAAAATTCGGGTTTTGTAGAGGGCGATGCAACTGGCTCAATCAGGCATATCACCGTGGGGGATCGCGTCAAATGACACGCTGATTGAATTTTGTGAAACCTGCTTTTGCCGTGATTTCTACATTAGCTATCGTGCATGCCCTAAGTTCGAGCGGCCCAGGTAAGTGGTCAACTTGCACAGTGAGAGCATTTCGGCGAGCAGCATACCCTCGGCGCCTGCTCACGACTGGCCCTGGCTATATTCGTGACACCTGCCATCGCGACATGCTACCTGCCATAGTAACTGGATGCTGATATCGGGCACGGCCGGAAACAGCTGATCTCTAGCCATTCATACCTCGTGCGGTAACTGCTACCTTGCCGGGCTGTCATTCCGTTGGATATCATTTCCGTCCAACCATATAGCGAATCCATTGACCAAGCTCACCATCGGATGTCTGGCCTATTGTGGGTAAGTCGACTGGGTCTACATATGATATTCTTTGTTGCGAAGTAAAGTGATTGTTGTACCGAATGGAATGCTGGTTTCAGACTGACACATCTGTAGAGCATCCTCAGGCACTTCACGAGACCTGAATCCGGCGTTTGGGACGTTGATAGGCTACATAACTTCCTTACGTGATACAACTTACTTTTCCCCTGGGCAATTACTATGGCACTTTCATCCGTTCCTTTAAGGGGTCGTTCCACTCGTCAGTCCAACCCGTATGCATACTTGAAAGCCACGCCGTGTGGCTTGAGTGTAATGACCACCGTACCGTCCGCTCCCTAAGCATTTTCATCGAAGTCTTGGGCTTAATCAGACATACCTCGATTTTCTTTTTTCTCTGAAGTCAGTCATGGTGGGTCTGCGGTGTGAGCTTCATTGTGTTCCATATTTCCGTCGCCTTCCGTGAGGGTCATGGATGATGAGAAGGTTACATCCACGCGCATCCGAACTCCTAGAAAAATTCCTGTTTCGACAAACCGAGTGGATAATTTCTCCATTGCAGACAGTCGTGAGTACTATGATTGCCCGATTGCGTCACAAATGGGAGGTGACATGACGAGCACGATGTGCTGGCTATCAACGTATTTATGTACCTGCTGGGTGCCTGTCGAGCTTTCGGGTTTCAACAAGCTGCGGATGTTTAACTTTTTGAAATACAACCGCTGATCAGCATGACTTTATATCGTTTGATTTTGCTTGGCTCAATGGGCTCCTTGCCCTTGAGTTTGGCATATCCCCGCCTCAACATTCCTCGGCAAGTCGGGAATGCGACGGGCGTTGCGCCTGGCATCGCACCTGGTAATGCGACTGCTCCCGGTGTTGCCCCTGGAACTGCCCCTGGAACTGCTCCTGCCACTGCCCCTGCTACAGCTCCTACTGCCCCTGCGGCTGTAGCTCCTCCGCCTGTCGTGACATATTCCACAACCCAGGCCCACACTCCGTACACTGGGGTACCGACAACGACTGGAGCACTCACTCTTGGCCCTATCGGCCCTGGCATTTCTCCCTTGGGCATTCCTCCGGAGGCTACCACCTACCCTAGTGATGGTCAGCTTCATAGCCCTGAGCCTGGACCTTATATCCCAGCAGGGGGCGTGGGAACGAATGGGACTACCCCTGTCTATAATGCAAAGAGTGACTTTGACTACGAGTCTTTGGTAAGTGTTGACTTGGCTCTTTTCACGGCTTCCTGCTCCTGCTAACACAACGTCAGGCCCTTGCGTTGTACCAAGAGTACATCGAGCTCGACCTCTTCCATGATGGACTGGCACGCTTCTCTGTGGACGACTTCACTGCTGCGGGGTTGACAGCGGAGGATCGTTTCTTGATCGAGTTCATGGCGGATCAGGAAGTCGGCCATGCGACCATGTTGACCAACATCTTGGGCGCAGAGGCACCCAGACAGTGCAACTACGTATACCCGTATACCACTGTTCACGAGTTCTTGGATTTCTGCCAGAAGCTTACACGCTTCGGAGAGGCTGGTGTGTATGGGTTCTTGTCCCATCTGGACTCGCGCGAAGCAGCGACTCTTCTCACTTTGTCCATCACCACGGAGGCTCGCCAGCAAATGATCTTCAGGCAGTTTGAGGGACTCTTCCCCATGCCAGTCTGGTTCGAGGTCGGTGTTCCTCAGTCATGGGCTTGGACTTTGCTTGCTCCGTATATTGCCTCTTGCCCAGAAGGCCAGACGCGTCTCGCATGGCAAAACTTCCCAGCACTGTCTATCCTGAACCAGCCGAACCCGGTTCGTATCAACGGCGCTGATGCTTGGAGGGAGACTATCACCAATGGCACAAACGTGTTGAACAGCACGGCGGTCCCCAGCTCGCAAGCTTGCCAGAACAATGATGCCGTGGGTATTAACTGCTCCCCTGCAATCACCCACAACCGCACAAACCCTCTGTCGTTCCCTGGAAGGGAAGTCTTCCTGTCTTGGGATGCTCCAGGACAGCCTGTTGGGCCGAACAATAGCTACGTGACCTCGACTACCGCTGGAGCCCCGAAGTACGTGGCGTGGGTGACGCAGCTGAACGTGACCTACTCTGAATTGACACTCAATGGCTCGAGATCTGGGTCGACGATTCAGCCCAATGTTGAGACCTACGCAGGTGACCCCGCCGTGAATGGCACCATGTTCATTGCAATTACTGATACGAACCTCTACGTGACCCCGTTCAACATCACCATGATCAACCCTCATGTGGTCGCCGGGCCGGCTCTCTACCAGTCTGGCTAGACAAGTGGATATATGGCTTCTTGAGGGTAAAATTAGCAGGAAAGGCATGCTTTTGGCGTGTTATGCCTTGCGAGATGTTTTATTTCGATTATGTATTTGGTTTCTGACGGGGAAAGGGAAATTCTCATGTCTCAACTATGCTGCTGGACCGTTTGTAATTCTATTAGTTCTTAATCTAGGGTTCAACTTGGCTACTAATGAAAACGTGGTTGAAGGTTAATCTATATTGTGCTGGATTGTAGCATCTAGATATGTTGTAGTACACAGTGTAGACGGACAGCCCACCAGCACGGCTAACCCCGCTTAACTCCGGCGGTGATACATCATTTCAAGTTGACAGCGGAGCTTCACCTGAGACAAACCCCTGCTTCTCGTTTTATCGCGAACCATCGCCCCTTTTCTCGCCAATAAATAGCTACGCACATTTACAGGGCTCCAGCACCATGGAAGGTCCGAGGAACCGGAAACAGCGACGAGCAGCAGCGGCAGCAGCGACAACTGTCGACAGCGACACGTTCGATCCCTCCTCAATCCCCCTCGCGCGCCCTGCACCGAATCCCCCGAAGAGCAAGGAGAAGACGTTGATGGACATTATATCTGAACGGCAAAGCGAACTTTTAGGCCAGGCAAACGCCCCGACTGGGAGCTCTGACTCGAGTCCCCGGTTTGTGACCATCGACCCCACGACCGGAGACATTTCCGGCCTCAACGCATCGGAGCTCGCGGCGGTAAAAAACGGGCAGGATATCAGACGAGTTGAAGAAGTCACGGACGAAACGGCATCCACTGAGGAGGAAGAAGACGAACCTGAAGAGTCCGACCATCCTATCCCGCCCGTCATCGACACGCTCCTGCTGTCAGTCCCCCTGACCACCCTCCACCTGACCCTCGCGTACCTCGCAGCCCATCAATATGCCGAGTCCATCGAACTAGACAACCTCGTCCGCGAATCAGTATTCGTGGCCTTTCCGATGCTGACCCTGCTGGTCCATCTTGCTCACGGACACGTCGTCTCCTTCATTGGCAGCACTGGCAGGTCGAAGTCCACCGAGACGGTCTCGCTTCTGCCCTGGGACAGCGAGAAACTGACGTTAGAATTCTTCCGAAAACTGCTCTTTCCTCCGGCATTACGTACCATGGTGTTCCTGCCGATGGCGGTCGCTCTTGGCTGTAAGCTGATGGTCATAACCAACGACGAACCATACTACGCGGTGATGAGGGGGGCACCCGCCATCGGGACAATATGGATCTGGAGCATTTTGGAGATACCGTTTGGGGCAGCCGTTATCGGGGCGCTGGGGCCATTGGCATGGGGGGTATGGTGGAAAGGCTACGGGATACTCTGATCGAAGCGGAGCAGAGCAAACAACGCTGAGTGAGATTATCGATCAACGCCCGGATGGCGCGATTTGCGCGTCCGTTAGGATGGAAGGAACTGCATCCTAGTACAACAGACATGCTTTGGTCTGGGACTCGACCTGCGCCGGCGCCTCGGTTATGATGGCTCGATATGCACCAGCAGCACCGGTCGGGCGGCGGACTTGCACCATGCCAGTGGCGGGCTTTAGGATATCCCCTCTCTTGGAGCAGACACTATCACGTCACTGCAGACACATAGTTACTATGTCGTTCCTTTTTCTTATTTTTTGTTTATTCTATTCTATCTTTTCCTGGTTTACCGCCATCTTTACCGCCACTGAGTTGACGAAGACTGGGAGGTCGCAAACTCAATCACATTTGATGTTGTACAACGTCGGTTGCTTCATCACGCACGTACGGTGCAGAAGTCGGTGACGACAGCTGCTGATGAGTATCTGCTTCTGGGCCATGAATGACCCGCCGGACTTCCGGTTCTGAACGATAGGCTATCCTGGACGGCATTTCTTTAACTCGAATCTTGGAATCCCGGTCGCATGTGAACATGGAACATGACCTGAATCAAGTGGATAGAGTTGGAGAACCTTAGATGGAGAGGGGAACAAAGAAACTACGACAAAAAAAGGAAATAATAAATAAAAATCTTGGACAATTAACGGTCTTGACATCGGGGATCAGTGAATCCCGAAACCGCGCCAACAACGGTCTTCCCTTTCTTCACTACGAAGTATACTCGGTTAGATCCTCGACTCGGGGTTTGTTTGAAAGCATGACCACCACCATTGCGAACATGGATGTCAATCGTGCTTCTACCCCTCCTGGACCATGTCGGTCGACGTGGCAATGCAGTCGAGTGGGAAGACCGTTGCGACTAGTGCCTACTCCATAATGCAACCCCTTGGGGGCCGCCAGGATCCAGGCAGCAGCTGCCAGGGTGACCCGTTTGGATGCGTGGTGGTCGTTTCCGGAGAGACCGCCAAAAGAGTCAGGCTGGGGGCGGCGGCGATGAAGCCAGGGAACAAGCTGGACCGGGAGAATATTACCGACGGCGAGAGGGAAGCAGGAGCTTACGAACAGGCGGTGGTCCAGGAAACCCGGACTGGCATGACATGGCGTCTGTCTAATTCTTCTAGTGGCTGCAGCTAGTTCACTGGCCCTGTCACATGACCTGCACGTTGCGGTCCCCAGCGCAGCCTCTCTCTCTCTCGTGCAGTTTTCATTGAGAAAAGAGTTGAGGGTGAGGTGCAAGCTGCAGAGAGTTCCTGTCCGGTGTCCACTTCCTCTTCCCCTCCCTCGTGCACCTTGGGGTTGTTGGGAAAGGAAAATCATGACCCAGTGATGCGCGGGTCCAACCCACTCCCTTCCCCCCAACCGCAATGACATGCCGATCAGCGGACTGATGTCAGGCTTGGGGCCAAGTGTGGAGGATGCGCCATGGCGAGGCTCTGCTACGGTGCCACCCGTGCTGAACATGAACCTCAGCCGGATCAATGTGAATCTCAATCAGGGCGGGAACAGGACAGCTGGTCTTTGCGAAGGTTTACTACTACTATTACTACAACCTTGGCGGGAAATTATCAGGGAAAGTCAAGTCAATCGCCCCATGGATGGGCGAAAATAGGTCGATCCAAGATCTGATTCGCGATCCTAGCGGTGACCAGCCCAACGATGGCGATAGGAGCAACAACCCTGTTGGGCAAAGACACGGAGAGAAAAGCCGGAGATTCCGACAAAGCAACATCGTCCATCCGGTTCAATAGTCGCGACGGATCCAAACTGGTTGACAGCCGATGGTGTGTAACCTTCCGCAAGCGGACTGCCGGCGGGGGAAAAGAAAGAGGAAAAAGAGGAGGAGGAAGTGGATGACAATCGGATTGTCCCGCGATCCAATCGATCATCATCCTCATCGAAGCGATTGTATGCCACAGTTGGATAGTTAGTCCTCCGCCCACGAGGCGGCGCTGGGCTTGCGAGAGACTAGTGACTTGGGCCGTGGGTGGGTGTCGTCATGATCCATTTCTCCGAGATACAAACCGGCTGGAGGGTGTAGATCGTATGAGATTGCCGGTAGTAGATACTAGATAGATGGAAAGCACTCGAAATTCAGCCTGATGAGAAAGATAGAAAGTATCACCACAATAACCCGAGATAGAAAAAGATGGCACAAGAGACTATCGCAAAGAACCCACCATATTAGTGATAGCCCACTGTGGCAAGACAGAGCAGAGTGTCCGTGTGTGTGGCGCAGAGCTGAAAACCATCCAAGCCATGCGATAGACTTAGTACCAACCTACTTTAGTCCAAAGAATAGTGAGGTAGCCGCTGAACCACTAAGCAGTTAGTCCAGGGTTCAGAAAACGAATGGAAAGATAGGAGAAAAGAAAAATAAAAAAGTGGGCAGGGCAGAACTTACTCGAACTATTGCGACACTAGTACGGGCCGGACTCAACTTAACCTCAGTTTTCGGGTCATGGGGATCCCCTTTGATTTCCTTTTCCGGGTACAGCAACATGAATGTATATTTCTTTTGATTTGATCGGTGTGGAGAAAGATGTCTTTCATTGCTTTTTTGTTGTTTATATCGCGATCTATCCATCTATCCATCTTGTACTTTTGTCTTGTCGATCGGATTAGTAGGTTGTTATGTATCATCGGTAGAACAAAGACACGAGATAGATTGACTGACTTGACTACCTTGTGATTAGCGGATCACGCTAGTTAATTAGTGAGTTAGTAAAGTGTCGCAAAGCGGCGGGGATTGAATGAGTGTCATGTCATGTCAGGTCATTTCGAGACAAGACCCTGGTCGGGAATAGATGAAAAGGAGATTACGATTGGGTAAGGAACTTGGTTAGTTAACACCTGTCATTTGATTAATTAAGTGTCTGACTCTACGGAGTATGTAGTTACGTGTGTAATGCTTTATCTCTCCATCGGAGGAAGAGACGGAGTTTAGTCGGGTTTACTTGATCAAAATAGATTATTAATCTAAAAGAGTGACGGTGACTATGAATGGAAGCTAACTAGTTAAGATATAGAAAGAACCTAATAGAAATAAGAATTTAAACAAAAATCGGAAAAATATGAATCACAAGATAGAAAAGTAGTGTCTACAAATGTAGTAATTGTAGTGTTTATTTGATAGTAGTAAGGATTGACCAGATCAGGCTACAACCCAAAAATGGCAACAAATGTTATTACTACTCGGTAGATGGTAAAGTTCACCAACTCCAAACTTAAACGATGTCCGGGAATTGGTATGCGATACTAAGTTAGTAAGTAGGATCAGATCCCTTCATTTCCATCACTAAGTAGACTCCATTAACTGAGAATGGCAAAGACAGTGGGAATTTGGGAAAAAGTAAACAACAAAGCCATCATCACCTTACATGAGGGATCTGTCCCTCAACCATGGTACCGAGAGTGCATATCCTGGGTAGAGAAAAGCATAACCTTAAAAGAACTAAAAGGATTGAAGCTGGGAAAGCTAAAGCTGGGTGAACCATATTTTTCCTTGGTTTGCTTTTATATTTTCTTTTTCCTTCCGTGATCAGAAAGCTTAGTGGAGAAACACAATCTGTCCACAAGAACTATATTTATCGCTTAGAGAAAAAAATAAAATAATTCTTCAGCTGTCCACGTTCAACAATAAGACATGTGAATGTTCCCCATAAACACGATGTTATGGAGAAAATGAGTGTAGAGACTATTAAATGCTATTGCTACTACAATTAGAAAATAGATAGTTTGCTTTACTTGCTTGCTTACTTGATTAGGTACATGTACATATATACATAATATAATATGTACATGATACAGCTCGTGTATGTACAATGTATGTAAGTAGTCACTAGTAGCACATATGTATCTATCTACCGACATTGCTTACTACTACTGTATATGTACATATTCTTGGATTGTAGAAATAAAAATAAAAATAAACAGAAAGTACCACATGTCATTTTGACATACTCTGCAGACATCATCACATACCCTATACTAAAAAGACTACCGAGGTATAACTTTATCCCTACTGATAATCTTCATCACATTACGATTCCGACCACATCCTTGTATCATGTTTGGCTGTTAACAGGGTCATCCTGGGATTGTTAGTCTATATTTCCCCTCTTTCAGAGAATAGATTTCTCCCTATCACGATCGCGATCACTGTGAAACATGAGAAACAAAAAGGAATAATGCTCCTGCTATATCAAGCTAGTGTTACTACACAGATACCTAACTGTTTAATCTAGATAGATAACTACTACACCGTAGATAGTAAGATATGTACCCAACAACCGGGATCAGACCCCTCCCTCTACACTATACTTTTCTCCTTGCAAGGATCATGAAGGAGCATAATCCCAGTCAAACACGCTTACGGGAGAAAAAAGAACAATAGCCACTGAGAATCCATCTACCCCTCTCGTGAACGAAGGCTAGATTTAGTTCTGACAGCAAACAATATCCTAGTAATTCTTTTACCCTGTTTATTATGTCACTCGACAGGATGATGGGTGAGTGTATGATTCAGATTCTGGCGGAGGGAGGGCCTTTACGATCCAATTGCGATTACTCTCTACATAGAATGAACTGTAGTAGTAAGAAATCCAATGGATAGAAATACCCCATCCATCCAGTTTCAAACTAAATCAAACCCAACCAGCGCGTTTTGGTGTAATGTATCACACCCACGCGCTTAACGTCCACAAACATGTGCCAAACAACAGCCACTGTACTACCACACCCTACCATATTATCCCAATTCCCCACAGGATTGGACAAACACTCACTTAGTTATAGTAAGTAGCTCACTACTAATACACTAACAGCTAAGCGAAGATACACCACCTCAATCAACTCCATTACTATACCTACTTCGTTCACAAAGTAGAGTAAATAACTGCTAATCCACTAGTATTCAGTTAGTAAGTTAGTAGAAGTAGTAGAAGGTTACTGCACCGCA